TTACATGCTTTTGGCTTTGATTGTTTGACAGTTAAACCTCTTTCCAAAATTCTGACTTTTTTTCTTATTTTATCATGATGAAACAAAAGAGAAGAAAATCAGTTCATCTGCCTCGAAGAGAACAGACAACTTTGGAACAAATTTTCTTGGGGACTTCTTATTTGTTATTGTCTACACCACAGAAGAGAACAACTGTTTCTACTGTACTATTCAGGGTCTTTTGCTGCTGGTCAATTCATTGTTTTAATTCGTTGATGCTCTGGCAAACTTTCAAGTATGTCATGGGAGAATTTTAAAAATGAAGCATTCATTTAGAAGTCACACAGTGGTGATATATATACAGAGCTTCAATTTAAACCATTATTGCATACCATCCTTTTCCTTTTGTAATAATCTATTAAATGCTTTCAAGTATGGAGAAGGAATAGCAACCTGTAGATCTGAATGGAGCCCAGATGACCTATAAAATACATCCTGCCTCACTGCCTGACTAGTTCCAGCTCTCATCTCTAATGGTTACTATTGTTATTCTACCATTCAGACAAGCACACACATCAATTATACATTCTTCTGGGTCACAAACCCATTTTCTCAGGCAACATTTTTGTCTTAATGCATGATGCTTCCTTTTCAACCTGTGACCAAAGTTGAAGGTCTCAATATTAAAATGGTATTTCTTTTTCTTAAACTATGTTGATAATCGGAAAAACAGCTTCATGGAAATCAGAAGGTTCAGCTTTTTGAACTATTTAGAAAAGTGTGTTTAGACCATATATTGTCTCTTTTTTAGAGCAAATGTATTAGGCAGTATTTTGTGCTTTAGGTGAACATTTTTTCTTTTGTTCTATTGGTGCCTGGCAGCACAGCTATAATTAAATGTCCCCTGCCTTCTCTACTTTATGACACTTACAATTCAGTCATCTTAATTGGACTTTTCCTAAGCATATAAATGGCTGGCTCAAGAAGCAAAACTTTTCTCAGTGAAGCAAACTGAAATCCTTTCACAGTGCATTATCTCAGCGACTTCTTTGGAGTCTTCGGCTTATGTTTGCCTTTTTTAAAGTGATTATGATGACAAAAGCTTTAGATAACTATCTGAAATAAGTCTAAGACAGATCTCCAAATTAATTTTTTTTTTTGCATATACTAGTCTCACAAACAAGCCAGTCATTATTTCCAAAGAAACAAAGTAATTTCAATTTCATGGTCGACAAAATAAATAGGGGAGGGTAACACACCAATTCTAGGAGTTTTTTGCACATCATGAATATTCAAAGTTAAAAATTCAGGGTAAGGGTCCTGAAGCCTCCTCAGGAGGACGTGATGGCCAGGCCTCAGCTTTGTCCAGCCACAGGAGCCAGCAGCATGCAGCAGCAGGGCCTTAGTCCCAGGAGCTGGAACACACCCAACCCACCACCACTCACTGCAGTGCAGAGCACCTACCTCAAGGAGGCTGCTTCTAGCCATGGGATGCTGACACCAGAGATTACATCTGCTCAACCCAACAGGTTTATGGATCAGACAAAGAAGTCACATCTCTTTAAGGACATCAACGTGGAGAGTTTGCAAGGGGTTTTACTCCATGTTCAATCATGTTCTGTTTCCAGGACAAGCCAGTGTTCAGCATTCAGGATCTGCATTTCCTGCAAAACTCAAAAAAGGGCCTTCAGGTGCTAGGGAACATGAAAGGATGGCAATGGAGCCAGTCTCAGGCACTTTATAACCATACCATGAGGACCATATTAATTCCTAGCATCTCAACCCTGTCACCCACTCTGTGGCTTACCTCATCCCACATTACGATAATTTTTTTTAAAAAACCCTTGGTTTACCCTGGTGAGGAGAGAGGCAGCTCTTACAGGAGAGCTGAAGCTGAAGGGATGGCCAAAGCTATGCATTCCTGCATTTCACATGGTCACAGGCTTTGGGTCTTTAATGCAGCCAGTGGGAACCATTTAGCTGAATCCTGTTCAGATCTAGGAAAACTGACAGATAAATATTATTTTAACATAGAGGTTTTTGGTTGGTTGGTTGATTTGTTTGTTTGTGGAGGCAAGGGGGTGTGCTAGGTTTAACTTTATTATAACTAAGCCTATATAAATGCAAATACTGTTTTCATAGATATAATTTCATAAAGCAAAACTACCCACAATCTTTAGCAGTGAAATTCAAGTGGCAACTGTGACAAGTAAAGAAAAATGAATGCAGTTAACTTCAGCCATTCCTGCTCATCTGAAAGCTTGTGTCAGTTCCTAAATAAGCTTTTCATTTTCCCTATTCAGTCTGCTGATCTTTGTTGATTTACAGCATGAATGAGCATGGCACATTGCAACTTGTAGAGTATATTTTTCCTAAATAATAAAACATTTATTGCAGACCCATCAAGCCTGCTAGTAGCTTTGAATTATTATTGCAATGAAGTACCATGTTAACAACTCATTTACATTGTTGCAGAAGACTCTGGGTTAACACTATATGTAATTTAATCCCATTCATGAGATAGGACTCCCTAGAACGTATCTAGAGCTGATAAATTACAATTTGATGGTATTTTTCTAATCAACTGTTTTTCAAGATGAAGCTGCCTTCATCGAGTCCATCCCACCCCTCACTTTCCCTGCTGAGCAATGGCAGCTGAGCAAACCATTTCCACATAGTGTTCTCGGCAAGCTCCAGCCTCAGGCTCTTTCTCTGTCACAACAAAGAAAGTACATTTAGAGTGGAGAGCTACAAAGATCTTATTGCTTTGGGAAGAAAATATGTTGTTGGGCAGAGAGTGAGGTCTGTATTTTGGTGGCTCTTTGAAGGGTCTGACCTACAGCTACACCACTGGCCTGGGGTGGGTACCAGCCTCTAGCTGAGGAGGCACAGGAGCACAGGCTACCAGTGTGTGCTCAGCCGGAGCCCCCGAGGGCAGAGCAGTGCCCAAGACTGCCACTCACCTCAGCTGCACCAGAGAGAATAGAGGCACCACACAAAGATGCTCCTGCCAGAGCACTCACACGTTTTGGATGACATAATAACAATAACAATGATAATAATAACAATAAATTATAAATATTTTTAAATCCCTGAGGAAGTACATAATTCTCCATGTACCAATCAGAAATTATCTTTTTAGAAATTAGAATCTTATCTTATTTAGAAATTAGAATTAGTGTAACACATCTTTCCAAGAGAATCCCCCTGGCATGGACGATACACTGCAAAACCCACCTTTACATGGGCGTCCTGCAGCAAATTCCCTGAGGCCACAGCAAGGCCAGAGTGAACACAGCAGAGGGAAGGACATGATGTCCAGCACACAGGGACACGCTAGATGGTGGCACAGTGTTACAGAGGGCACAAGGCACATCACCTCCACGACGAGCAGTAGGGCTGTCTCTGCTGTAGTCAGCAGTGCTGCTGGCACAGCTGCAGCACCGTGCCCAGGCTAGCACAGTGTGCTCAGAGCAGGCTTAGCCACCCCAAATCTGATGGGTATGGACTCCTGGGAATACGCTGAATGATATCCCATGTCACAGGATAACCAAGTTATGATCACTTTTGCATTTTTACACTCTTGTTTCGGCAGATACCCACAGTCAAACAAGTTACTGCTCCTGGTGTCTTGTGGGCTTTTGATTTATTTGTAAGACCCCAAAAATAATTTTTCCACAGTATTTTTTCTAGTTCCTAACATTTAGTTCTGCTACTTATGAGAGATACATTCTTTCCTGAATAGAATTTAATTTCTACCCAATAAATCCAAATTCTTCTTGCATAATCTTCCATTTCTATCTAATAAGTTGAGAGTGACAACATCACTAACTTCTTTCACTCTTGGGTACAGTCAGAGCACCCAAAATTTCACCAAATTTTGACCAAGTCCTGTCTAAGAAATATTTTTTACCACATCATCAGGAACCCAGTCCATTCCTGAGGTCATTCATTAATCATTTGATTCCCTTAGTCCTTTTTAAAAGACATTTCAAGTGAATTTCTTAGCATGCTAAGATTTTCTGTCATTTTCTATGTCCCTGACACTGCTTATAGTAGAAGGCAGAATTTTACTTCTCATCTGTTAGTTTTGCTTGCAGAAACATTGAGTTTAGTTCAGTTTTTCTTTCCCTAGTATTCCAGGTTGAATATTGACTTTATTAACTTGAAAGGGCATCCTACTTCAGTTCCATTTCAATCTGCATTCCAGGAGCTGACTCTAAACCAGCAACATGCAGTATTTCCCCTGAAACTGAACAAGCCAGAGCCTCTGTCCTACCACCAGATGCCTGATTTAATCCAGCACCAGGAGCCAGATGTCCCAGGCACAGGTGACACTTCCAACACACATGTACCTGCTCTCCCCTAACAGGCATCAGCAAGAGAGAGGCCAGCAGAAAGCAGAAGCCATGTGGCAACAACTGCTACATCTGTCCCATTAGTTAGAGAAATCTTCCCGCATGCAAAATCACATTGCTCTTACTCAGCTGAAGTTGCATGGCTGAAAAATACAACCATAAAACCCACATCCTACCCCCTAATGGTATTAAGTAATGGTAATATAACATCATTTCAATGCCCCTTTCACATAAAAATGCTCATTCTGCTTCATTTCAAATAAATTACCTAGTTAAAAAAATTATTTGAACTGTAAGGCACAAATAAGTGAGCATTATTGTTTGCTGGTTGACTAGATAAGGAGTTAAACATCTAGAGGTGAAGTGGAGGACAATTAATGTACTACCCTGCTTAATTATCACACAATGCCCACTTCTCAGGGAATTAGAGCTATTATGATCTACTCCTATGAATAAATGAGAATTTTAGCTCTCAGAGGGTAATGCAATAGTTTTGGAAATAATCTTTTTATGAGATTGTGGCTTTATCAGTTATGTTTCACAGTCAGTATAAACACTTTGTATCATAGGAGAACAACTTCGGACTGGCTTGCAATTTTAATTTCTGTACCCAAATGCTTTTAGTTCACTTTTGCTATGCTCTTATTCTAGCAACCAAAGTTAAAATTAATTTGCTTCCTTAGATCTTTTTACAAAACACTATCATAACAGTAACATTCAACTAAAAATAGAAATGACAATTTAAGCAATACAAATTATGTATAAATTGGTTTCCAATGCAAGTGAACACCCAGCAAAAGCAGTCCTGATGATGCTCAGTGGTATCCATACACTGGAGGGTAACTCAATCACAGCTTCAAAGACAGAGGAAAGGATATTTGTTTCAGAATTTCACATGGTTTTATAAGACATTTGTTTTTATTCAATTTTATATTAAAATATTCTTTAGGGGACATTTAGTCTCAAATTCTTTGAATCTTTATCAACAGAACTGCTGAGTTACTAAAAAGATGCCCAGTTTCAGAGTTTCATATTCACCTTTCCAGCAGACAGAACAAACCTAAATATACACAAGTTTGAAAGCAGCTTGACCACAAAAGAAAGCTTTAGGGGACCCAAATAGTGGACCATATGTGATATCAAATGGGCAAGCCATTAGCATCAGCTGTGAACATATTGTACCAACTGGGAATGAAAATAAAACATTCAACTACCAACTGTTATAATCTGTAAATAGTCAAACCAATTCCTCTGGGTTCCAAAAATACATGAATAGGGTGACTCATTGGGGCCCCATTGTCCTGTTCATAGGTAATGCAGCAGATTTGCTCCTAGGGAAAAAAAAACAAAAAAAAAGAAAAACACAGAAACCGTGGTTAGTGAGATCTGATATTAGCAACAGTCTTTGTATATTAAAAGACTCTTGGGCTTTTTGAAACTATATCTAAAGATCTTACATTAGGGATAACAAAATAAAGAATTCTTTTGAAGCAACTTTTCTCTGTACAGTGTGAAACATAAAAAAAAAATATCCCCATCGCAAATTATGTTGAGAAACTGGCAGAATACTAGAAAATTTATAGAGGGCACCAAACTACTGAGAATTCATTGTACAGCTGGCAAGTGCACTCTTACCTACTAGTTGCTTCACATTTAATAATGCATGTTATGAACAGATGGATAGAATGTCAATAAGGCTCTCTGTATCATCAGTGGTAATGAAATAGTGGACTTTGAATGCTTAATAGCACAGAAAACAAAAAGCCTAGAGGAAATTTGTCAATGTCGTGCATGCAATACTTCAGCAGTGCTTTAACACTGTTAGTGTGAGGCCATATGTTTCTTCTAACAGGATCTACTGGAGCTGGGTGCCAAAAAAAGTTTGACACGTTTTTTTTAACTCCTACAACATGTTAAGAGCAAATACCCTGTGAATCAGTCAAGCAGAGTAGTCAGCAGAAGTGCAGTATCATTACTCTTTTTTACTCCTTTTCTCAATGAAAAGTTATGGGAAACTTACTAGTAAACATTGTTCTTTATACCTATTTCAGAAATACATTTGAAACTAATCTCTTTGCAATTATATATAGAAATAAAGGCACTAACATGTGTTAGGCAGTAGATCTTGTTGTCAAGAGCTGAAGAAGATGTGAATTTAGAAAATACTGCAAGAAGAAAATATACATAGCAGCATCTAGACATCAGACACATAAAAAGGAATAAATAGAATATTCTCTTTGGAAAATAATCTTAGTCAAAACTCAGCTAAAATATCCAGTAAGAATGCCTTGGAATAGTCAGAATGAGGAGGATAGCAGCAAGTGTCCATTCTGAGATGCAGATCAGGGAATACATGGGAAGGAACCCACCAGGCACAGGCTTTCTCTGTAAAATGGATGGGCAAACAGCAGTCTGGCTGGTAGTAGCACCTACAAAGGCTACAAGGGCACCTGGAGTGGTGTTTCCAGCCTGCACACTTTTCAGGGAAGCTGTCCTCAATATCTGAGGAAGCATTAGACAGCTGTGGCACGTGAGCCTCTGTGAAACACCGAGATCTCAAGTTCCACAGTACAGCTGGAATCCTAAGCATGTGAAGTCAGCAGAAATCAATGCAAGTTTAACTATCGATTCTGGGAGTCTCTAACAGTCTGAAAACTCCTCAGGAAAAGCTCAAGTACTCTGAGCAGAAAACCAATACTTTCTGCCTTGTGACTCACTCCTAAGAGATCAAACTCCCCATCCATGCCCTCCTTCCTCACATTGTCTCCTCAAAACCTTCCTGAGGTGCTCCAGTGATATCCAGACATGATGCCCTGAGGTACACACCACTCTTGTCAGCCAGGACACCCAAAAGTCTACCTATTGATTTCAAAGCCACCACACAAGGCCACTGTGGGATGGGATCTCTACCACCACTGAACTCAGCTGTACAAACATTCCTTGTGTTCAAAAGTAATTAAGAGAACTTTGACAGACAAACACCATTCTTTAGAAAACAAGCTAGAAATGACAGCCAAAAGATGTGTAAGCCATTTCAATTTCTTCCCCTTTCCTGCAAGCCAGAATACTCATAACTAACAATAACAAAAAACATTGCATTAAAAAAAAAAAGCTAATTTTTTCAGCTGCTGCAGTTTTTGGTGTGTATAGCACCAGCATGCAGCAGGAGACTGCAATTACTTCCTTGCAGAGGAGAAGGATGTGCAGAGAAGCAGAGCCTGTCTGTCAGTGCCACAGATGCATTGGCTTGCCTGTGCTCTGAGCTTGCACAGGCTGGATCCCTTCCTGCCACCCTGAACTATGCAAACACAGGACTGGCCCACACTAGTACGCCCCCTGAAAACTTATTACAGCTCTCTGCATTTCCCTGCATGAACGTATTTCAGTTTCTCCTGAATAAGGAGCTAAAATTCAACCTTCCAAATCAGACCTCAAACTTAAGGAGAGCATCACCCGCCTTTTCTCTTGCCTTCTGCTTCCTGGGAGGTATTCTGAGTTCTGACCTGACCAGTTGCACCTAACAAGAATGAAGTGAATTTTGTACAAGCTGCAGAAGTACAAAGGCTAAGCAGCATGCAGGTTTTCTGCGAAGCAGAGCAGCAAGAGGTGAGAAATTAAGAACCATAGCAGTTGGGGATCCTCACTCACAACTGCCAGAAGAGCTGTACATTGAGAATTAGAAAGAAAGCAAAGGGACTTAAATCACTGATGAAAATAGGCTGCTTACCAGATTTCTTATAGCTGGAACCTCCTGTGTTCTTCGGACCCTGAGAAAGGGAACATGAAGAAAATGCTGCAGTGAGCATCTGACTGTTGTATGGTTTGAACATAAATGTAGTTCTCAGCCTAGAAGGTCTTAGGTGCGTTTTTTCAAAACCAAAAAGATATTGATAAACTGAAGAAAAATTTTTAAGGGAAAAAAATCGATAAATATTTAATGTATGCAAAAGCTATCAAGGAAAAAGGACATAACTAGAAATAATGGAAAGAAAAAGCTTAAGCTCAACAGAGTATCAGGATAGTCTTCCTCACAGCAAGATGTATCAGCCTGTGAAACAGTCTCCCAAGGAGAAATATGGAAGCTTTCACCTGGAATTTTAAAAACTAAAGTTGACATAGCACTAACAAAATGTTCTCAATGATATAATTCTACACTGGTAAAAAAGCAGGCAGGATGATCTATTATGTCTTTTCTAAGTTTTTTCAGGTTTTGATGCTTTACGAACATATCTTGAACAGCCAAAGGTTATCAGAAAGGAGCTTCTTCAATTAATATAATGAACAACAAGATTACAAAGGTGATCACTGTGCAAACCTATTTTAAAGCATCTCTCTAAATACTAAAAAGGAGATGCTTTTCAGACAATGGAAGCTTTACCCAAGAACTGACAAATATAACCTGAATCCACCAGCTTTCAAATACATACTTAGTTTTAAGTATGTCCTTATTTCCCATTAATTTAAAGAAACACTAACCCATGTCTGAAATGAACTTAAAAGAAACAGTTTCCTAAGAGTCTTTGAAAAATTTCATACTCTCTACATAGACCTGGGAAATGCTATGAGGAAGCAGATTTAAGCAAACAGTACTATTTGGTAGACATGTATAATAACACCTTTCAAGTCTCCACGACCTGTTCTGTATGTCCATCTGTAACTGTTCTCTCTTATTATACATTGGCATATCATTACCAATGTCACTATTTAGCACACACTGTGTTTCATTCACTGCTCCAAGATCACTGACAAATAGTTAAACACAGTCATGGAAATAATGAATTGCTGAGTTAGTGGCTGAGAATAAAAACAAAGAAAAAGTGGTCAGTAAATATAACCTATAATAATTTTTTCAACTTTGCCAACTTATTAAACACTCACATACAAAGCAGTTGTAAACTATTTCCTTCGGAGCAATACTGAGGGTAAAGCAGGGCTGATTTACAAGCAACTCTCCATTTATGTGCTTTAAATAACAACACACTATTCGTATATATAAAAAACATCCATTCTCTTTATCCATGGACATGCAATATACATCTTAAGAATAAAAATATCAAGTATCTTTTAATACAGAAAGTTGCATTTGCAAATATTAAGTAATTCTAGAGCACAGGTGTCCCTCACTCTCTCAGTCATACTTTAAGTCCTTCACCCACTTCCACTAGGGCTTTATCCTAAAATAACTCCCCAGTTAGACAGAAACACAAAACATCTTTGCTGTCAGTCACAGGAGTTTCTTGTAAGGAGAGAGAGTGGGGAGGAGAAGAATTAGCTCATGGTCCACTCTCCTACCCATCCCACAGCTCCTTGGGCAGCCGAGTAACCCACCACCCCACAGGGACCACTGCTCCCCTTCCTCACTCCACCTGGACCCTTCCTACCTTTTCTCCCCTCACCCTTTTATTTTTCCCTCTTATTATAAGACTTTTCACAAGCATTATTACTATTATTGCCTGAGTTTTACAGCTGGCACATCATCCCCTGCTGCACTAAATCAACACTTGTGAAAGCAGCAGCCTTCGAGTGACTGAGCAGAGCTGCTGCTTGCAGAAGTGTCAATTTGGTGCAGCAGGGGATGGGGTCGCAGCTGCCAGAGAAGAGAGGCCCTATTTTATGCCTCAAAATGATAAAAATGTCAGAGAGGAGGGAAATCTGTACAAAATATAAAAAGGATGTAGAACAAAGAAAAGAAAGAAGAGGGGGGGAAGGGTTCAAAAGAATGAAGAGGAAAATGACACTGCACAATGGAACAAAATCACTGCTGAATAAGATACAGGATTTTTGTAAGTAGGCACTTTCAAGTTAAAAACAAGTCTTATGCATATCATAAAATAAAAACCTGATGATAGTACCCTTCTGCTTTGGGGGGGAATCTCTGGCTCATTAAACTGAAATTATTGTCTTAACTACATCTGTGATAGGTTAGGATATGCTACTATACACAAATGCTGGGCATAAAAAGATTATTTCACAGAGGGCTTGATTTTAAGTAGAAATTTAAAGTAGAAGACTGAGAATCCTGCATTCAGAAATTTGAATCAGCAAAAGTGAACAGAAATTCTATGTGCTGGAATAAACTTGGGCACCTCTGATCTACCACTGTTTAGAGGCTCCGATTTGAAAGCAGCTACCTATTATTTTGTACACTAAAAGGAAAATAAACCAAAAGAACACGTAGTTCCAAAAGAAGTCACAGAACTCATATTTGCTTTACACACTTATAAATAAGTGAATCTAATGCATATTTCAAATACCATTATCAATAATGGTTTGCTTTTAAGGATTTCCTTTGTTTCTTCTAACCTTTCTTTGGGAGCTGCCAGTTTACTCTCTATTAATTTTCCAGTGTGTACTTGCAATAAGGGAAAATAAATGAGCTACACAGCTTAAACACATACCCCTGCTAAGGAAAAAAAAAAGCAAGTAAGGATACTATTTATCTATTTCCACAGAAAAGTGAATCCACCTCTCCTGCCATTATGCTTTGACAGACCATGGCATCCCAGGTGGAGCAGAGAGGATTCCTGAAAAAGCAGTGCTCTGCTACAGAATTGCCTCATTCAAGGCACACAGCCCTCTCAGCTGCACATAATAATTTGCAGAATTTTTTGCACCCATGAATATTGAAAGTTTCTGCTGGGTCATCCCTGGGTACAGAGAAGACCTGGAAGAGCAGAGGTCCTATTTTTCCTCAGCAGTTTATCAAGAACCACAACCAGCACAGCTTAGCTGAAATGCTGTGCTCAGAAATCCTTCCTGCTCCCTTTTAAGGCAATAACAACGTATCCTTTAGTCTCCAAAATTTGCTTCTGTAGGTCACCTTATATAAAAAAAGTCCAGCACTGATACATGTAAAGAATGAAAAGTGTCATTTCTGTAACTGGTCTTGGAATATAACATTAGTCATTTTTCAAAGACTTTTTGGAAGGAGCATATTTGCAGGACAGATTTCAAATGTGGTCTCAAAACTCAAACACTTTATCACAAGAATTCATTACTCCCCTTATGTCCACTTCATTCTGCAAAGTAAATTGTACAGCCCTTCAGCTCCTATCACTATTCTGTTGCCCATCTGGCAGTCATCACTCTTTATTGATACTCGTGTTTGACTTCATGCTTCATGCTCATAAATCTTGAAAAGATACAACCATTCCTTTCTTCACAATTTGTCAAATTTAAACACAAATATTAAAAAAGGCCACAAAACTCTCCAGTCTCCAACTACATCAATACTGAAGTCAATACTCAACAATGACTACTAGCTTAGGTATGTGGCATTCTTTTTCTCTAGTGATTAGACTAACAATACAAATAGCACACTAATTATTAAATAAAAACCTCCTTTGTTCAGTTGATAGAGCCATTAGGTGCTAAAAAAGCCATGTCTGGGTTCTAGCAAGATTAACACTGTGTCATCTTGCTACATTATATCAACATATTGATCTATCAGTCCAATTGTACAGCGTTCTTCAGGCCTGTTCGAACCTTATCAAAAAATGCCTCCCAGATCAAGCACAGTTAAGTTAGTTACAGCTCAGTAACCTATGATATGCAAAAATGAGAGCAAAAGATTACGTTCGAACCTTATCCAAAAATGCCTCCCAGATAAAGCACAGTTAAGTTAGTTACAGCTCAGTCTATGTAGAACCTATGATATGCAAAAATGAGAGCAAAAGATTAGGCAGTTCATCAATTCAAATGCTTCTCTAAACCAGTACCAATGCAGCAGTACCAGTGTCATCTAAAATTTCTTCATTAACAAATTTGAAAGTAGAACAGTGACATTAAACAAATGCTTATCAAATAATTATCAAACAGATCTGTGCCCTTTTCATTTACCTTCTTCAGTTGGTAGGTGTTCATTCAGTTCATTGTGTACATCAAATTACAAGAATGCCTCAGACTACCTTCAGAAAGTGTTTGCACAGTATGAACAGTGGGATTACCAAAGACAGAGTTATTCTCTTCCTGCTAAATTCCTTGTATTTTACAAGATCTAGTGTTTCCATGAAAAGTCCTGCAGTAAGAACTCCTCAGTTGCTCCTCAGCATTAAATGTGCTTCCCAGTTATTAAAAAATAAAAAAGGGAGGAGGATGGGAGAAAGCAACCTTTTACTTTGATCTTTATGTAAAGCACCTTTTCACTGTAAACACACATGAAGTGTAAAGCCCAAGTTATTTAAAATGGGCCTAATTTTCTACTGTCACTAATTCTTTCTCCTTCTTTTCCTTCCCTTGAACTATAAACAAAATACCACTGCCCATTCAGCAGCAAGAGTCAATTCAACTATTCCTGGTCCCCTAGGCTTGAAGTTTTGTTCTAGAGCTGCTCTTGTACTGTGTCACTCTGAATTAACAGACGATATTTTCATAGTGCTGAAAATGCACCATGGTTAAACATGGACTCAAACACTTCAATAAATCCTGCTTTGGTTTGGGTGCAATAATAACTCCTCTGTCAAAACCTCCTGTGCTGGAAATTGTGTTTGGTCCCTCATTTACATTGGTGACAAACATCAGTTCACCTATCATGACAAATGACAGCTGCTAGTCATGGTGTTTATGGCACACTGATGTAATAATGATAGGCACAGCATAACACAATCCAAACAGAGCAGAAGAAAACCACATTTTGGGCTTTGGGCAAAATCAGTGTGTCCTGCTAACAGAATAGATCAAGACAAGAAAACACAGCTGAGCCAATAACATGCTGCATGACAGCAGTTCCCACAGTGGCTAAGGCTGCCATGGCAGAACTTCTGGCCTGCCTTCTGCAAGTCTTTATTCCCACCAGCTTATACCTCAAAAAGAAAACCAGTAGCAAGCAGCCAAAAATTTTCTCCCACAAGTAAACTTTCCTCTATTACAAAAACCAAACAAAAACATTCCAAAAATATTTATAATTCCAAATGTTTGTACCACTGGTTGAATTCAAGAAATTTTTGAACTAACTGGTTTTTAAACAAGTCAGAATTTATAGCCTTAAACACTGAAATGAGCAGGTCCTAATAAGAAATAATCATATTTTACACAATTATCCATTATTATCTATTTCATAATAGCCAAAAATAGCACACATATAGCCAAGAATACTGTATTCACAGTCACAGGATGACCACAATGTATTTCCACACTTGAGGTTTAACTTCTAAGGACTGACATGGGTCACTGGGATGACAGTAAGAGTTTGGAGGACACCTAGAGAAGGGGATGCTGGGCAAAGGACGTCAGCAAAGGACCACCTGAAGCTGTGTCCATCCTTCCTGCCCTGCCCTCCCCACCAGCCATACTGCTCACTGCTCCCAGACCCATCCACACAGCTGCTCTCCAGAGCAGAACAGGATCTGACCTGCCTTTTAACTATAACCAGAGAGGTTTAATCAGCTCCAGCTCCCAACCCAAATCCATGGCAGGGCACAGCCAGCTGCAATGGCCACAGATGCTGTTTGGTCCCATAAATTCTACTAAGTTTTTTCTAAAATGCTCTCATCACAAGGGGAAAAAAACACTACCATCAATTAATTCTTATCCTAACAACGATTGTGAAAGTGGAGCAAATATTTATTTTCTACCACGTGTGTTGCCATGGAAACAGCTGCAAGCCACCCTTGGCTCCGGGGCTGTGCAGAGGCTCAGGTGCTGTGTGCCCGGTGCCCCGCAGCGCCCGGCTCCAGCCGGGACAGTAGCACCCGACAGCAGGCTGCCACAGCCTGCCAGGGAGGAGGCCAGGGAAAGCAGCACTAACTCCCAAAAAGCCACTGCAATTTACGCTCGAGCAGCTCTGACCTACTTTGTAAGTAGCGAGTTATCTCATTAATTTGCTCAAAATAGCAGATGTGCGAAGGGTTGAAAAACAAAATCCATCATTTCCACTGCAGGAGAAGCACCAAAATGAGACAACTCCACGCCTGTCACTGCAGCTGCAGTTTCCCCTCTGCAGTGACAAGCAGATGACCAGTCGATCCCCAGGTACACGTGTGACACCAGCTGAAGCCAGCCCTGCTCTGCACGGGAGAGGCTGGTCCTGCCCAAGGCATCCCACACTGCAGCTGAGCAACGCAGCACCGAGCTGAGCAGCCTCGTCCCACGCACGGCCCCGCAGGATTCCCCCTCACTGAAGGGCTCTACAGCAACATTTGGCACCTTCTAGAAGGGAAGTTCACCCACCTTTTGGTTACTAGTCAGTCTACAAATGTTTTTCTCCTCAAAGCTTATTTGTCCTTCCAAAGGACATACGCATAGACTCGTAAAAAGCAAATAAGAATTTAATTAATACTAACCCTACAACTTTTTTGTTTTGCTCTTAAAAAATTGCTCCTTGATCTTTTCTGTATGATTAAATTACTTTTTTTGCCTCCATACGTGCAATTAATTTTGTTTTCAGGTTTCTATTATGTATATATTAAACACAGCGCATATAGACATAAGCATGTTCAACTAGTATTCAGATGGAGGCATGGGAGAATTCCTTTTAAAAAAATAATCAATATTTCAGTCTGATTATAACAGAAACCAAATCTTCAAACATTGGAGTACAACATAGCTACCCTAGAGAATAGATATTTGGTTTTCTGACCAGCAGTAAGTTTGTAATTGAACAGCTGCAGAAAAGAGAAGAAACAAACATACAGCAAATCAGTTTTCAAGCCTATATTCACAGAAAATTTCTACTGTATTGTGCTTTGGATCACAACATGATAAACAGAGTTCCTCCCTTCCTTCCCTGTTCTTCTGCAAAACAAATTAGAGTGGTCTATAGAAGTTTAACCTATTGCGTTGCATAATCCCTCACTCACAGAAGCAAATTAGGCACAGAGTAGCTCAAGAACTGAATCTATTCACGACCCTAAGGAGTGTCAGATTCCAAGCAGCAATTTATTAAACAAATACAATCCCTTTTAATTTTTTTTTTACTATGTTTTGCTTAAAATGGTAACTTTTTCTTGTAGTTTTTGGTTGGTTTGGATTTTTTAAGTCCCCCTGTCATTATTAGCATTGCAAACAAGGTATCAATCAAAAGGACAAGGCAAAATTTGAATCATACTTATTTTAAAGGTGCAAACCCTGTTTCTAGATTTTCAGAGAGAATGGAAGAATGCATAATAAAATATGAATTTAATTCATATATGTGTATCTGCACCTATTTATATTGATATAATCTACTGCTGAAGTCATAAATGTTTAAATCCATCGACTGCGTTTGTTCATTTCCCATTTTCAGGAAAAAAAAAAAACAAGGTTCTTTACTACAGTACAAAGAAAAATGCTCTAATACCAAAAGATCCAATTAAAATAATAGGGCCATTTGTTTCAGTAGAATTTCACACATACAAGAGAAATGCTAACCCTTGGGAGAATGTTCTCAGCTCATTTAACAATATATGTTTCCTCTGATATGAAAACTTTAGCTTTTGCATTATAACATCATTGCTAACAAGGCACACGTATATATCTCATAAGTAGATGGAAACACGAATGTGGGAGGAATTATAATAGTTTTTTATCCATACTGCACTCCTCTCAGGATTGACTTGCATCTGCTGTTTACTCACCTGGGTAGCTTTTTCCTCTCCACGCATTTAAAATACACACTCAAAAAAGGCCTGGTACTCTGAAAGACAAGAAAGTGGTAAGTAAAAAACTAAGATACCACCAGTCAGGAAAAAAAAAAAAAAAAAACCCCCAGGCAGGAAAAAAAAAAAAAAAACTATGAAGGGAATCAAACAAAGAAGAATTTGTATTCCAGTTCCAGGGCTACCAAAACATTTCAATGGGCAGTTGGCATACAGCTTTCTTCTGCCAGCCAAAAGAAAGCCAATCTGCTCCCAGGGCACATTGTGTTCAGGGACACCTTCGGCAGGAGGCTGGGCAGGGCTGCACAGGTGCCAGTAGCTCCTGGGCTTCTGCTAGCAGCCAGGGACAGCAGCAAACCTGAAACCTGCAATTCAGGAGGTGCAGCTCTTACCCAGGCAGTCTTAATGGCAATGAAATAGAAAAGCTAAAATTATTAGGTCATTAGAAGTTTAGTTCCCATTTTTGTGCACCTGGGAAAAAACTCTGACTGGAAATGAGGTTTTTATTTTTTAAACTGGTTTTATGAGTCAGTTAAAGACAGTCAGGACTGCCAATATCTGATGTCACTGAACAATTTCTAACACCTGGATATTTTAACATTGCAATAAAATCACATTCCAAATTTTCCTGTTTATATCAACATCTAATTTTCTCCATTTGTAAGAGAAAGTTCAAACTTGACCAGTCAACCCATTAATGAGGGAAGATTTATTTTTGTAGATCACTTCCCACTGACTATCAGCACACAAATATTCCTACCTAACCGTGAGGACAAATGTAAAACTAAGATCTGAAACACCAAATCCCTAAAAGAATTTAGGCAATAATCTCAAATTATAGATACAGTCCTACAGTCAAAATGTCAAAATTATGTCCAACCAATTCAGGATAGAAACATGAATGATGCGATTAGGAATTTCATAAAGCCTACATAAGGGATGGCTCTCTAGGAAAAAGCTGGTCTCCAAATACTTTTTTCCTGCAATACAGTACTTGTAAGTCTAGAACTTAAACTTGCACATGCCTTGTATATTTGATTGACTCCATAAGGTTTTCATCTAAATTCAAAGTATAACTGTGTTTAGATATATTTGAACATTTTATTGCATTTAGTTATGAGAGATGAATTTTTCCTGAGAGAACCTAGGGCACACAACATTGCCAGATCATTCCAAACAAGTTAATTCTGAAATGGGCTTGAATCAATAACACAAAACAGGCGGTAAAGCCAATTTTTACGGTAGTCATGGTTTCATAAAATAATATCAAGACAGTCAGATTGTAAGCTCCCTGCATCTCAAATATAATTTGCAACCAACTCTAAGCACAAAGAGGAAATAGATAGGTGGAAGACACAGATAAAAACAAATGATAGATGAAACAAAAGGAACTGGAGGTAAAGAAAGAATGCAGAGTAGTTGCCATTCAACACAGCGTGAAAAAAAGCCAAACAAGTGCAGCATGTAAGTAATTCAAGGGAAATAGAATGCTTTGCTTTCATTTAAGCTTTAAAATTGTTATGAAAAGCCTCTTTTTTCACTCTATCTGTAAGATATAGGCAGACAAGGGATGAATGTATAAATATGTCACTGTAATGCATGGCTTTTAATGAAAATGGATTTTTAATGATCCCAAAAGCTACGTTTCTCTCTGACTTGCTCCATTTCAAGACTATCAGCGTGAAGTATGCACAGCAAATGCACTGGTTTTGCATGTCCTTCACTAAATCCCAGGACAGCCAAGCGTCCAAGAACTGTACAAAGCAGAACTGCCATTATGCAGAGCAGATACAGAGAAGCTGCACGTCCTTCACTGCTTTTATTGAACTTTCAGAGCTCCGTGACACTGCTGTGCCTTCTCCCACAGCAGACCCCAGTGTGGCTTACCTTGCACTCCATATGCATAAATAAAGGATGATGCATGGCAATATGCCTTGCTGTTGTTCTCTGCCTCAAGGACACTTGTTAAAAGTGTGCCATTCCTCCCACTCCCCCAAGCAGGCACATTGTGTTGAAGTGCTCCATGTAAAACCCGAGCACACAAATACCAGAGGATTTAGTTCACAAATGAAGAAAAGTCACAAGGAGAAAAGAGGCTGATGCAATCCATAGCCTTCTTGCTATCTGAACACAATGAATTCTTCTTTCCAATGTCAATGTTCCCCTTTCAGTCAGTAATAAACAAAAAATGCGCTGAATAATGTGCAAAAATGTACCAGCTAGTATAAATACCATTTTTCCCTTTTTTTTCATGTAGGTAATAATATTTTTTTAGATTTCAGCATCATGATAGAATAAAGGAACATTTTCCTTACTTTATCACCATCCATGAAGTTTTATCTACAAATATTTCCTGTAAGGCAGGTCCATAGATTGGGAAACTGTAATATAGTTGTCATAAAACCAAGATAGCATTTAAAATGGACTTGTACTCCTGTATTCACTTCATGTTCAATGCTTCAAGGTAAGCTTTGTGCAACCTATGTTACTTGGACAAAAAACATCTCCATGTTTATTTCCTGCGTTATCATTTTTATTCTTTGAAATAACAGAAGACAGAAGGAACCCACAACCAGAACACTGATGAAAAAGATAATTACTGAGAGGTGCCACACAATCAGTTAACAAATGCTCCTATCCATCAATGAGTCAGAGGGCACAGCTTTATGAAGGGGTCCACAGAATCAACTATTTAAATCACCTAACAAACAAACAACAAAAAAAAGCCTCCAAAATCCCCATTTGCTGGGCACTTTCAAATTCACCAGTTTTTCCATTTTTTCTGCTCTCCCGACTCAGAGTACCTTCCAATTAATATTTACCAAATGTCTCTCCCTTCTTCATTTAAATCAGTTCAAAAACTGTACCTGTTTCATGAGACCTATGCATGCTTCTGACAGCAGATATTTGAGAAAAAAAACAAAGAGAACTTAAAAATCCTAACTAACTACATTAAAATGTAATCAAGAAAGAGTGCTAAGATTAGCTCTGCCAGTACAAGACATCAGCCAGGCATGTGGAGGTACCCCAGGGACACAGGTGGATATAGATGTGGTGCACAGCCTGGGAAGGATCCCATGTCTCACACCATCAAATGTGGTTGAAATTCAGCAACAGCACTCAAAAGTTACTGAGTGCCCTGGAGACACCATATTTGCCTCATTCCTCTAGAAAATAAGGCAAAAAACCTCCTTGCAATAGTGCCACAAAAGAAACAACAATAAAATCAAGCTACAGTACTCAAAGCCAGAGTTCATTTTAAACAATAAAATGTGGGAAGAGATTAGAAAACAAGAAGCAGCCACTGTGAACAAGAGCCAGAGGATGCTATCATAGCCGAGGCACAGACAGCTAAAGTCATTTGCCAATGCAAAGATTCACTCCAAGCTCCACTTAAAGCTATCACTGCTTCTACAGAGTACAGGGAAGGAACCAAATTTGCCCTAAAAGGCTATACAGGACTCTTTTACATACACTTTTGCTAATACACAACAAAGTACTCAATACAGCACTTTTGTTGCTCCATTTTAGCAGTTATCCCACATTATCTAGATGAGAGACAATTGCACTGTGGCAGGTAGATCTTGTTAGAAGCATCCCAAATGAGAGGGAAGATCTTGCCTCTAAAATACACAGAAAAGATCACAAGTCTATGTTGTGCATGCTGAGGTATTCTGCCTGGGATTCTTTAAAGAGAATTTGGTGAGGAAGAGAGACTTGCAGCTTTTTGAAACTGTTTCCTTCAGTATTGCCCAATTTCAAATTACTTTTCTTTTCCTGGCAGCTGTTGAGGAACTGGTGTTACTGGAGCAGATTATCAGCCACAGGACTGTCTCCTATTGCAGTCAGCACAGTCCCAAGCCCACAGGAGTTTGGTGGATGCGTCCAGCTTCTGGTCCAAACCCAGGGACTGTGACATGACCCTGAGGTCATGTTAGAGGTTTGTGCAGATTTCTGCATTATTTCAGAGATCTCTCCATTTCAAAGCACCCTCAACAGGGTCTAGGTCACTCCTGTACAACAGCTCATACAAATTAACTTCTCACATATTTCTGTCAAGCTAATGGACAAAATTCAAAGAATGTACAACCTTAAAGACATTAAAATGTGTTATTTTCAACTGCCTTATTTAAATGGTATCATTTTTAAAGCAATGTCTTATATCCTTGAGTCATATTCGTTAATTCCCTATTAAAATGCACCCCCTTTCTCACTAATAGAGTATTTAAAACTATGCTCACACATTTTTAAATTCCTACTCCCTATTAATCAAAGCCATAATTCTCATAAACTTAAGCACAGGTTTCATTCCAGATGCAGACAGTTCACATATTCTATGTTTTACACATATTTCAGAGTATGCAAATTAAACAATATTTAATCAGTCTAAGATTAAAGTTTATTTCCACTGACTTGAACTACTTTTGAATGTGAAAGACCCATCAGTTCTCTCAGTGGTGACTAGCTCAGTCTTTCTGCAGTCTCAGATATGGTACAAACATCCACATGCCCAAAAGTAAAGGAATGCCAGCAATTTCAAATGAAAGCAGTTTTATTAGTTAGATGTTAACTACCAGTGTTAATGCAACTCTTCAATGCCTGATCTCATTTTGAAATCTTACTCTCCTTTTTATTTTCAAAATGCTTCTTATTCTCCTGTTGCTGAGAAAACCTGGCTGTATCTATAAACTCTCTTATTAAATGTTTTTAAAGCTAAGCAAGGTAGCAAAAAGAAAATTCTTCCTCCTACCTTTAATCTATAATTGTCTTTGAAATTATGTAAATACATTTCCTGTACATTTGGGAGTTTTTGAAAAAGAATATTTAGACCATAACATGAATTAAAGTTCTTTAAAACACTGCTGTCAGATATCTGTAAAAACAGGCTCATTTAAGTCCTGGAAACATGCTGCAGTGCAACCTGCCTGAATAACACTTTTAGGGAAATACAGGTGAGGTTCTGGATTTCCAGCTGCAATAAGGCAGGAAACTTCATAATCATAATCCAAAGAATCCTTACAAGCTCTTGCAGGTTTTTTTAATACTTCCTTAAGAGGCTGACACAGTAGTAGCTAGATGCATAAATCAGATATTTTTATTGCAATCTAACAAAATCAAGACTGTAACCATGATTCATTTTTTTTAATAACCGTAGTTCTCCAAGACTTCCGATCCTAATGGGGCAATCATGCATCACTGTTGTGTTCCAACAGAACTATTAGGCTCTGTGCTGTGTTAGTGTAATTGCAGTCTAATGGTTTACACTGTCATAATGGTACTAAATATTTTACTAAACAAAGTACAATATCTAAAAAGTAATTTAAATTGTTCCATCTTTAAGATCGCACATCGAAGAACGAACAGTTCCTTTCCTTCTGAACTGAGAGTAACAAAGATGTCAAAATTAGTTTCTTGTTTCTCTCAGTAAAGTGGTTAAAATGTAACATTAGAAGGAGAGTTTTAAAACTACAGCATAAAATTACTTAGTAAAAAAAGAAAAGTATTAAAATATTTTGAGGCATTTTGATGCTCTGCTTCAGCAGGCTGGCACAGCTTAAACTGTCAGATTAACAAAGGATATAGAAATACTCCATTCAGAGTCTAATTTGGATTTTTAAATCAGAATTCCTGATTATTTACTTTAACAAAACTTTTAATAAAAATCCCACTCTGTGCAAGTGTAGCATATCATAACAAACTATCTAAGCACAAGATATTATAACTATGGTGCAGTTGTGATCAGTAACAGCAGCTGAGCTGGCAGCAATGCCCAGCAGAGCCTCCCTCCCCAGGAGCCCTGGCAGGAGCAGGGTGACCTGCCAGCCCCTCAGCACACTCTGACTCACAAAATAGCCCCATGAGCTAAGTCAGACTAATTCTGTAAGGAGGGACAAGCAGAACAGGCAAGGATTTGTAAATTCTGCCATTAACAGACAAGAGTAGCCCCAGCTGCACCCTGCAATGTGCTGCCTTACTCCCTTGGACAAAGCCAAAAATATCTGTAACTACAAAAGGAGCACTGAAGTTAGTACTAAAAGTGCTCAAAGCTTCTAAGACCGCCTCCAGAACTCTGGAAATTGATTTTTAAAAATCTACTTTGCCTAAAGCTAATTTATACTTAATGCAATTAATTATTTTTTTTTTTAAACCTTGGTTTTTTTACTTCTAGCTAAAGTATTCATTTACCGTGTTTTTTAAACACTGTTGTCTTGGAAAATAAATATTTTCTTTTTCCCAAAAGTCAGGACTTTTTTCAGAAAAGGTTTTTTGAATTTGGACTAGGACACCAGGGGTTTTTTTCCAAAATTTTGTTTACTACTAGTATTTTCTACAACACTGATCTGCTTAAAAAAAAAAAGGGCAAAAACATGTTTGTACTATCTAGAGAACATTTTGTACAGCTCATAACTCCGTGATTTAGGGACTGTCAAGATCTAGATCACTTTGTACCTGGAGAATAAATTAGTTCTTTTAAAACAGAATAAAATAAAACTTGTCTTTTACCTGGTACAGGAACTTTTTTAAAAACGTGAAATACAGTGACTTCAGTAATTTAGTAGTAAATAATCTATGAACTACACCAAGGTACTAATGACAAGAACTAATTATTGCCCATCCTGTAAGTGAGGAGCTGTAGCTTTCTAACATTGATGATGCATTCTCTTTCTAGCTGTGCTCTGCTCAGGCATAGAAGAGCCTTTCCAGCAAGCACTCCGAAAGGACTCAATATCTGCACTGTGTTAAAAAAAATAAAATTAAAAAAAACAGGCATTTGTTAAGGAAAAATGCTACTTAAACCAAACTTCTCCAGCAAAATTTTCCATTTTGCCAAAAGCATTGAAAATGCACTTTGGACTTTTACTTCTCATTTAAATTAGGATTTAAAAATACAGATTAAAAAAAAAAAGAGTAGAAAATATGTTTTTTAACAATCTCTAGGATTTATTGATACAGTATACACACCTAACTTATTACTCTTAGATAATGACCTTACACAATATTCTACTTACATGGAGAGGTTTAATTTTAATTTACAGTTTAATTGTCCTACTTAAAGTAAGCCTGTCACCTGTGTCACTTTGTGGCTCATAACTGTAATCCTCATTTAATTATTTACTTCAAGGGAGCATTTTAATTATAGACATTACTGTGTGTGTGTAGAGTAACTTACACTCAAGGGCAGTGACAATTTATACAGCAGAGTGCTCACCTGAATTTCCGCTGGCCACATCTCCATGTGCAGTGGCTCAGCTGCAGAGCCTGCTTCGACTGCTGGGAGATGCTCTTCACTTCTCTGGCCTAGGCCCACATTTGGGGTGTCTGAAAACAGGCACGACCACCAGGGCACAAACAGCTTGGATTACGACTGCAAGGCTCCCAGCTGAAATATAAATGAGACAATAATAACTTCTCACATCTACATTTGACCCTGCAAATCACCTTTGGACATGGGAGTGCGTTGCCATCTTATTGCAAGGGTTTTGTACCTTCTTGGTGATTTCTCATGGGCAGCTCCTCACAACACTGACTCCTCCTCTGAACAGCCAACAAACTCCAGCCAACCTACTCTTTTACAATACCCACCCTAACTGGATCTACCTGTGGCCTATTAAGGGCAGGCCTGTTCCTAATTCTTGATAATTAGCACAGCTGTAACTCCTTAGGGGTGAGATTACCTTCATCACTATCTCTTTTTTCCTACATTCCACCCATCCACAGGAGTGGGCATGCAGCATTGGCTCTGGGGTGAGGTCACCACTGTGCCCCATTTCTGCGGTGATCACTAATGGAGTGACAGAGCATGAGCTTTCCTTTGATTTATTTCCTGAAATTTGAGCAACCAGTGATGTATGGGTTTCCTAAGACAGGGACTGCCTATCAGCTTTTTTTTTAATAGCTATCAGTTGACTAATATTCTATGAAATTATCTAGTATCTATGCAAACTAGGTATATTTTTAGCTTTCAAAGCATCACAGTGCAACAAGCTCCATCATTTAAAAATAAAATATTTTTTTAAAAAGAGAAAAAAAAAGAAAAGAAAAAAACACTGCTTCGCATTTGCTTCAAACTTGCCAGATTTGTGGGTTTGTGTACTATTGCTGGGTCATCTTCACAGTAATTTTAACTTCCAAGGCAGACATTTCATCATTATATGAGTGGCACTATGCAACTTCCCTGCTCTGGACCAAGCAATATTTTTCATTGCATGAAGTCCCTATAGGCAACTTAAAAAACTGAAAATACTTCAACATATTTGGCAAATAGGATGCATTTCTCTGCAGGTACACCCAACCAGAAGGGATGGCAAGGGATGCCTTGTCCCCAGGCTTGCCAGCAGGTGAGTAGGGCTCTCTGCCTGGGGCAGATGGGGCAGTTCTACATATGAAAAATACATGCCAGAGTGAAAGAGCCCAGGTTCTGCATAAGTTCCTTTTTTACCATTAAAACACTTCCAGGATTTGTGGTGTCCCTGATTTGCTGTTCAGTACTCCTGACTCACAGTCTTGCTTAATGCCCAGGCAGCCCCATGGGCAGTCAGGGGTGTTTCCAACTGGGATCCTTCCCTCTTGGAGAAGCTCTTTCTGCAAACTCCCTCCTACCCTGGAGGAGACACCAAAGCACTGTCTCCCTACCAGGAGACAAGAAGAGTGCTGTGGGATTTCTGAGGGGCACAGCTCTCCAGCACATCCAGCAGTGCAGAAGGGGGACATGGGGCACATGGGAACTGCAGGCCACCTGTTTCTGAGCTAAGTAGTCACTTCATTATTAACAACCTCCATATTTTCATAAGATGCTTATCTTTTTCAATAAACAGAAACAGTTACTAAAGGTTTTGTTTTGTGCTCTTTTTTTTGTTTTTAATATTGGGATGAATCCAAAGATTGTTTTCTTTAGTATCTACCTTTCTTCAGTGATGAATGTTTTTTCATGACCAGTGTCATTACATACAATTTTTATCATCTAGATTTTTCTAGGTTGCTGAATGAAGTAGAACAAATTTCCTCTTTCCAAAGAGGTAACCTTCAACCGACAATTTGTCTGCTGCTTCTTACAGTATTCTCAGCACAGCCATGGCCCCTAACAACTGAGGGCATTCAGCACGTTCCAGTACTGAGTATATCACATTTCCCATCTGAAATTGCTTACCTCATCAGTCACTAAGGGCCCAGTTTGGAAGTCATTAAAAATAATGAGAATGCTGGCACTTCTCCCAGCAATAATGGCATTGGATTCTGTGTTGGTTTTATACTTTAAGACATTTGTATATATCCACAAATCATTTAACTCTTATCTTTGTACTAGCTTTAATGAAACTAATGGCTGCTGAAACTGTGTGGGTTTTATTCTACTTTTTATTTAAATAAGCTTCTGCCCACTCCATCAAATAACAACACAAACACTTACACAGCATATTGCATCACGAAAGCCCCAAAGTGTTTACCAGGATCACTATATCCACCACTAAAATGCAAGCACTTCTCAGTCAATAAACACTTCAGCTGACAAAGCCACAAGAGTTTCAGAAGGAAAGCAGAAGAGCAACAAATCAAATTTTCCCAAAATAAATTTAGAACCAGGGTCTTGCATTTTCATCTCCATCTGTATCTACTGTAGCCTTTCCCTCCTATGACCTTGCAAAAAAAATATAACTCCATATTAACCCACTGAGTAGCATCACCACTCCCGCAGGGTCCGTATCTCACAGGCTTTGACAGGATAATGAGCCCTCAGGAACATGCTCCAGGCCAGCACTAAATGCACCATTAGAGTTTCTAGTAATTGTTGGAAAACACATATTAATGCACATTAAAACCTTAAGGGAGTCACCCTTAATATTCAAGGTCTAGCTTAGGGCCAGTGTAAAATTTCTCACCACTACGCTTTTCCCGATAGGAACACGTATGATTTAGACAGTTTGAAATAAGAACAATACAAATATGGAAAAAAATCTCACCTTCTTTAGATGTGTGTTTATTTGCTCCAGGCATTTGAACTGTACATTAAAAACAGACCTGTCATAAGGACAAACACAAAAGTTACAGATCCAGCACTTCTGCATAGAAGTGTGATATTTCAAACTCATAGAAATTAATGACAGTATATAAAATGACACACATTTTGGCATCACCTGCTCACAGAGGAGGTATCTCTAAGATGCAAAGGACTTGAACTCCAGTCACCCTGGAATCCCATCCATGGTGTGAAAAATCCAGAGATGCTAGACTGCTGCTGAAAGCTCTGTCTTGTCAAAACTCTGTAGAGTTCAGTATGACTAAACAGACTGATTTACCTAGGTGGGAGCATAAAGAAATGGCAGGTGCTAGTCAAATAGTAATAATTCTAACCAATAATAAAATTACAAGTACCAGATGTAATAAAAAAGTTCTCCAAATGCTTCATAAGGTGAACTTTAAAGGTGCTTTGATATTATTTTCAGTATATGTGAAAATCTGAAAAACATTACCACTGCACAGAAGTTAATCTAAAAGCCCATTTTGTAAGGTTATTAAAAAAATATTTTTAAGGCTGTTAAATGTTTAATACCTTTGCAAAGTATTTTCTTTGCATTTATTTTTAAGTGCTGGATAAGGTCTGCTTTTAAAACACATATTGCTTAATGTACCCTTTAGTTGGTGCAGCACCTTTAATCTCAGAATATTTTAAGCCATGGTACAAATACCTTACCAAGCTATAAAAAAAAGGAATCACCCAGCCATCCTTAGCAGTAACTAGAATATGATTAGTTTGATTTCTTTAACCTATTAGCTCAAGGAATGAAATGACAGCAAACTAGCTTTATGATTATCAATCTAGTTTGAAATTATCTACCAATATCACCCACAGAACTACTAGTTCTGTGGGTGATATGTGGTAGATAATTTCTACCACATATCTACTACAAGCTACACAAATTTAAGCAATAGGTGCAAATGCTCAGGCATCATGTTTTTAGAATATTTGGGGAAATTTTATATTCTATTTTCTCCTGCAGTGAATGGCAAAAGGAAGATGGTAGTTTTCAGATACTGAAAGCCTGCCTGTAGCTCATTATCCAATTAATTGATATGAGTAAATTAGCTGAATCAAGCTAAATGACAGCTAGTTGCTCCACAAAAGCTAGTAGTATATCACAATAAGGAGCTTTCAGAAAATTAGATCAGTGCAGAGGTCTTTCCTTTTGAATCTTAGAAACATATTAAAAGACATTTCTATCTTCACTTTCAGAAAAATAAGCATTTAAGAAAGGGATGACAATTCATATTCAGAAACTCACTGAGAAGATTACAGGTGTTACAGTAGCAGTGGAGAGTTTCATGGCAAAAGCATGACAGAATTTTTTCATCCAGATCCTCTTCCATGAAATGGATAAGATCTCTCATACCTATTATCTCAGATGTCTCTCTCCTAGCTTCCTCAAGGTAAAAGAAGACAGCTTGGTAGGTCTGTTCTTCCATTCCCTCTTACCACTGCACCTGCTGCACCCATTTGAAAACATCCCGCCATTCAAGGTGCTTCTTTTTACACCAAGACAGAAATGACACTATGGACAGCTCAACCAATCTTGTTAGTCTCTTATGAAATTACATGGGATCACTGCTTTTTAAGGCCTTATAAGAATCCTGCTTTGGCTTTGTGCAAATGTAGGGTAGAACAGGCACAGGACTTAAAAAACACACCTGAACAACTAGGGAGAACTGAATCTGGATTCATTACATTGGGAGCAGAGTTAGAGATTTAGTGCCAGGTAATGCAGAAAAAAAAAAAAAAAACCAAAAAAAAACAACCTCTTCTGTTTGGATCTAAGCATCAATGCTAACCAAACTGCAGGGTTAAATCTGCTCTTAGGAAAAATATCACATAAAAGCTCTAACTAAACTCCTCGGTGTGAACTCTGCAGCAATGGGGAATACACACTCTCAGGCTGCACAGAAGCTTCCATTATGTGAAAAGGAAAAAAGCACAGCTTTTCTTACCACTGGGAGGCTTCTCACACTTTTTCATTTTAGTGGTGGTTTGTTTTCCACTCTCCTCCCTCCTGTCACCTCAGACAATGGTAGCTCAAGTGGACACTACAAGCAGAGGGACATTTTTATTAATCTCACACCTCCCTCATTTTTTGTTTTTGTTGCTGTAGTTTTACATGCATCAAAATGAGAATTTTGCCCAAGACACTGCCTGCATGAAAAAAAATCCATGTCATTCAGAGTTTCTGAGCACCACGTATTCATTGATGGCTTTCAAGTAGATTTTCAAGTGGCAGCCAAGAATTTATAGCTGAGGGAGCTGAGGCTGTTCAGTCTGGAGAAAAGGAGGCTGAGGGAGACCTTATCACTCTAAAACTGCCTGAAAAGAGGGTGCAGTGAGGTAGGGGCCAGTCCTGGAAAAGAAGCAATAGCATGAGAGGTAATGCCTCAACTTGCACCAGGTGAGGTTTAGACTGGATATTAGAAAAAAATTCTTCACTGAAAGGGTTACCAAGCACTGGAATAGTCTGCTCAAGGAAGTGGTTGTGTCACCATCCCATTTAAAGGGATGTAAAAGGTGTGTAGACATAGCGCTCAAGGACATGGTTTAGGGGTGGCCTTGGCAGTGTTGGGTGAATGGTCAAACCTTAGAGGACTTCTCCATCCTAACGGTTCTGTGATTCTATCTCCCAAAACATTGCATGTCAGCAGAAAAAAATCAAGCCTCTGATTTTCACATCCAAATCTTAGCTAAGTGTTTAACCCTGGAGACATTTTCAGAAAATTAGTACAGAGCCTGTGCACAATTTAATCAGAAGAAGTTTTAAACTCTGATTCTGCAATTAAACACAATATACTCTTGCAGCTGCCATTTATCACACTGCTACCATTTCAAGCAACCTGACCAACAAAACTGTCTGGTACCTAGGAGTGAAGAAATGAGAAGGATAATGTTCTGTAGGAAAGCAGGTCCATCCAACATTTTACAGTGCTAAAAATACCCTCGGGACTTATTCTGATACCTTGTAATTATGCACACATATCCTGATTTATGGTCCATGTCTCCCAGCTCAAAGTAGTCTGCACTCTGTTTCATATCTTGCCCTATTTATGTGTAGAATACTCAAGTCTATAATGCCATAAAAGAGAGGACAGGCTCATTGCACATGTTACTATCGATTTCATACGAGCATAGGCATAATCTAATGATCCTTTTCAACTAAGGATAAATATGCACAATTTAGCCTTAAACATATTCAGTGTCAGATCATTTCAACTGCTGCCTTTGAGAAATATGCCTGTGATGTTAAACAGCTCTGCTGTCCAGCCTCCTCCTTAAGACTGTAGAGAGTGTGGCAAAGGAGACAAATATGTCCAAACTGGAAATGGGACAAGAAACATTGTCAGCTGTGTATCAAGACACGTATCTGCTTCAGGCCAAACCTGTAATTTCATGATCCACAACCTTCCCCTTCTTCTCTCCACCTCCACATGACCCTGCTCTCTCACTGACCACCTGTGTAACTAATGAAGAAAAGAGAATCCACCTCGTCCAAGTGAGTACTAGCAAAGATAGGTGGTTGATAGGAAAATTAATAAGCATTTTACCTGTAACAATTACTCTAAGTACCCTAACTGCTCGGTATGTGCAGGTTCATTTCAAAGAAAGAAAGGACAACCTGGCTTAGACAAAGATCTGATTTTCATTCCCCAAGTCTGCTCTGAAATGCTTACACAACCACTGGCACATGGCTGAAATCCCCTCTTTGGGGACAGAGAGCAAAGGAGTCACCCGACATTTGTTAATGGGTTGTTTTATTTTCTTGGGTTTGTGTTGGTTTGAGGTCTTTTTTTTAATCTTCCACCAGTTTCAAAGTAAGACAACACATGCAGATGTAATGTTGTGATGTGTTTCTGCCCACATTTTACATGCTAATCTTTAAAAAAGGAAATATGGGAAGTGCAATGGAGCAGCCCTAGCTGCTGTCTGTACAAGGAAGGGCTGGAATCCGCACGTGCTAACAAGAGATACAAAGACCATAGAAGGGAGAAGGATCTTCAAATAACTGTGTCAGGGGTCAAAAATCTGACTGCTTTTTTTCCCCTAACATATCTTAAATTTGGTTGATTGTTGGGTGCATATTTATTCACACCTTTTGCACAAAGGAGAAGGTTTTGCAGTGTTCTTAAAATAATTTTGAAAAAGGACTCTCTCAACATAAGGGCCAGTTCTTCCATGAAATAAGTGCATGTTTTTGCTGACTATTTTTTCAAAAACAATTTAACTTGTAGGCTGAATTCAAGCCTTATTTCATTTCACAACACAGCTTCAATTCTCTGTTTGTCAGTTCTGACAACTTTGTACCCATTTCCTACTTGTACAGATGTAATTTAATATGTACTAATGTACCAATAACAAACTTGTATTATTAACAATCACTGAAACATAATTAGCAATTCCCAGAAAAGGCTACAACCCAAACGTGAAAGGTACATAATATAATTTTCATTTATTTTTTGTAGTCAACAAAATCTACTACATCGTTTATGCTCCTCTTAACTTGGTGGAACTACCGCTTTCATTGCATTACAACAGAACTATTTTTTTCCTATTCAGATTCAAGTAAGTTTTTAATCTTCATTCTGGAATTGGTGCATGAATTAAGACGTAGATCAAAAGTATATTTTTCCCCACATGTGCAGGAACCACAAAATTTGTGGAAAAGGAGCAGCCCAGGGAAAGGTTTAAGGAGTTCTCATGCTTTTTCAGCAAGTTCACTATGCAGTCAATTTTGTGAATAACCTAACCATATAAAACCAAGTGGCACCTGTATTTAATAACCTCTTTCAGGAACAATATGATCTGCATACATCTCACTTTCCATACTTTAATTTTATTTTTTTTTAACTCAAAGCAAGTTTGCTTTTCATGACCTCTTTTATGAATCCTTTATGAACAATTCCACTATCCACATTTATTAGCTTTTTCCTTTTCTTTATTTCTTTTTTTTAAAGGGTATCTGCATTCCTTCCAAAATAAGATCATTTTTCTTGTCACCCCACTAATTTTTTAGTGTTCCCTATTTCAAAGGGCTTATATATTTAAATAAGTAAGGGCTACATCATGCACCAGATGTAGCCTAGAAATAATTTTATCCATCCAAATTCAATTAGGTGCTGTGAGAGTAAGGAGCAAAACTAGACTCCTTGAGACAGAATCCAACTTTGTAATGACAATCAATACCTCCCTCCCTCTATGTGCAAGCTCTCTGATTATTATTAATCTTCATACATGGGAAGCTGAACACTGAACAGGCAGAAGGACTAGACTGTGCCTCTGCAGCCAATGTGCTGAACTGAATGAACTGAGTGCAGGAAAACAGGAGTGGAACCTTTAGATTTTAATTACCTCAGAGAGACTAAGCCATGAAAATAAAGTTCTTATCAACACACTGCCAACAAATTGATAAACCAGGTACAGAATAACTTATTTTAAAAATAAATTTAAAAATTAGAGGACAGAAAGAGACAGACTATTCATAAAAGCACACAAGAAAGTTTAATTTTTTTTCATTTTCATGCAATTTTCTTATGAGATTCCCATCAGAAGAGGAGATATAAACCAAGAAATTCTTGAACTATTTACTTGCATGGAATGAAGAAGATATCACATAAACAATTGTAAATATAAATGATTTTAAAACTTTCCTTGGTGCATCTGAAAACCCACCTACAAATAAAAAAAGAAGAAGCAAACTTAAGCAGTGTGAAGCTATAGTATGCATCTTAACAGCCTAAACATAATCAGTGAAAGCTTCTGCAGCAAATCAAATAAAATAAGCTATCACCATGTCAAAAACTAATATTTTTACAGTGATATTCTATAGGAAAAGTCAAAATAACAAATGCCCTGATTCAGAAAATTAGGGACTGTAATGGCATTGCTACTTTCTAGCCATCTGGATCCACAGAGATATTTAATACTGCTAAGAACTAGGGCCTAAACTGAAACCAGAAGGACAAAAAAGAGAAAGATGGACATAAGAGAGTCATTTAGCCTCAACAGCCCAAAATTGTCAGGAGTCTTCCATTTTTAGCTTGTAAGATAGAGCATGTATTTAGCATCTGAAAAGTCTGGATTTTGTAATAAGCACCAGACTCAATCTTAATGTGCAGAGGATACAGCCGCTTTGTAAGGCATTCAATAACATCATACTTGATCATATAAGAAGAGCCATTTAGACTTCACATATTGAGCAATGGCTCATCTACAAAATATCACTGTATAGAAAAAGCAAAAGAACACATTACAAAAGGATATCCAGTCGTCCCGATAAGACTTTAAAGCAATATATAATATACCCTGGATTAATATCATATTAATAGCTGTGGCAAACTCATACCCTTCCCATTTCAATAGCCTGAGCCAAATAGGGAATGCATCTGACTATCTTTTCAGTAATTCTACTTTTTAAGTGTTATACTGAATCAGGTCAAGCAGAACCCAAGATACTTTATTTCAAGGCTATTTCAACAGTTAGAGCTGCAATTTAAATAGAAAGCGAATGGTACTGTTCTCTGTACTTTAAACTATTTTAATAGTTTAAATAAATGAAAGTTATTGAAACTGGTTTCCAGAAACCAACTTGAATCATGCACAAATGTGCTGCTTCAATACAGAATAAGATCAGCAGTGCAGAAATGAATTACATTAAAAAGCAAAAATATGCTAAATCAGACAAAGAATTGAAACACCAATACATCACAGGTGATTCTCCAGTAGCACATGTTTTCACCCAGAATACACCTATTACACACAGAAAGCAGAAAATGAAAAGAAATGCTAATCCATGCAACAATGCAGCTTCACAGAAACAGTGAAGGGCTTCAGTTGGGTCCTTAAAAGCAGGCATTGGGGCAAAATGAGATACAGCAGGTGCAAAGGGAATAGGCAAGTGACTCAAAGATAGGTTCTCACCTTCTTCTCTACCCTGCTGCCCACACTCCAAGAAATGGATGCCTTTAGCATTTCTAGAGTATATGTAAGAAAATATATTTGACTAAGGCACTAGAGGTTACATGATGGTGCTGAAATGATGGTGATG